AAATAGATGTCAGGGAGCTGCAGAAAATACTTGCTATCTATTGAAACACAGTAGTTTTCTGATGTAGGGTTAATGCTACATTTAATTTTTTGTTCACAAGCTGTGTGAATAAGATGCCTTGGACAAGATAAGGAGTAAAACATGGGACCAAGACTTTGTGTAGGAACTCAACTTCTACTTAAGCTCTGAAAGAAAACTACTGGATGAATTTTCTGGAATTCTGACTTAGTTGGATATAGTTCCAACTGTGCCTGTGTGGCTCCCTCTCTCTTGTCCCTGCTTTGCCATTACAGTGGGGACAGCCATCTGACTGCAGCTGGAGTGTAGGACCTTCTAACCATTCTAACCAACCTTTCTTCTACCCTTCTAACTATTCCTTTCCTAGTTCTGAAATCCTCCTCTAACTTTTCTTTGGAGTGTGGCTGTCCTGTGAAGAATATCCCACCTTGACTTGTTTTAGCTAACATTTTCATCTGTCCTCTGAAGCTCAATTTAACTTTTACAGCAAATGCCACCTCTGCTGTAACTCTCAGGTGTTCACAGTTGATAATACATCCAGAAGTCTCAGCAGATCTGAAAAAATATGAAGGCTTGTTTCTCGTTTTTCCCATTTGAACTCTTATTTGGACACATTGCAGGCTCTACTGACAAATGCCCTCCCCTGCCCCTGATTTTGTCACGCACGGGGTATATTTAATCTCCAATCTCCCTGATGTGGTTTGAGGGCTTTTGCAAGCTGCTGCCATCTTCCTGGGGAGAAAGAGCTCCAGGGAGAGACATGCTAGACTGATGGGGAAAGAAAAAGGAGGCTTTAAGATACGTTGTATACTCTGTCAAAGAAGAAAAACAACAAGGAGATAGAATAAGCAGGAAAAGTCTCCACGGACATGACAGCTGAACTTTTGAATGAGCTGTGAAGTGTTTTTCAGCTCTTCTGTGCATTGGTGTTTAAGATGGCAGCTCTTTGTGAAGACGAGTACTCTCTCTGCCTTCCTGTGTCTATTAGTGTTCACCCAGAATGCTGGAAGGTACGAGGAGAATAAGCAGTACTCTTAACTTCAATAAATTAAGGCACTCAAGCTTAATCAGCTCGGGTATAATACTTCTCAGTAGAGAATGCTATCTGTATGCAAACATACAAAAAAACCCTGTCAATCATCTACTTACGATCAGACAGACTTGAACCAAATTCTGGAATTCAAATGGTAAGTTTCAAAGGCTCTTAAAAAGAAAAATCACTACATTTAGGTTCTCAGTGAATGGAGAAGTCTAAGTTCAATGAAGTTTTTTTCTGCCTTCTGATTAATAATAAAATTTCCATCTATTTTGCAAATATACTTATGCAACCATGTGACATGCCTTCTCTGTCATTTTAGTCAAGATCTATTTTTTAGTAGTTTGTCTTGCAAAATGTTTTATGCTTTATCTGAACAGGTTTTCCTTTTTTACTAGGAAAGGGACTTTTACCAAATACAGACCTGGATTCTGCTCTGTTAAGAGTTTGTCTAATGCTTTCAGGAGGTAAACTTCCAAAATCAATTCTGCAGAAGTGAGTACTGCTATTATGAAGTGTACAGATTGTTCTGTTTAGCCACAAGGGAAAGGAGAAGGTTTGGGAGGGGGGTGGGATTTGTTTACTTATTTGTTTTCCATCAGCGTTAACTGTAATCTTTCTCCCCACCTGCTTATTTCTATCATTCAGCTTTGTTTCAGAAAAGTATAGTCCCTTGCACAGCAGTGACCGGTTTCTTCCAGTAGCAATATAAATCCCATTAAGACTATGGGCTGTAGTAGTGTAAGGATACTAATGTTTTTAACTAAAGTGGATTTCTCATCTGTTTGTTTCATTTCAGTGCTTTGTTTACTAGCACAACAGTATTCACTTTTGGTATTGCTTTACCCATCCTAAACAAAACAAAATTGTTTCACAAAGAACTAATCTGTGATCAAATCAAAGCATACCACTGAAATGTGGGGGTATGGAATATGATTTGTGCTTAAAATTTCAGTGGGGTTTGATATATTTTTTGTCATTGAACTGTCCTAGATGAAATTGTGTGATGTATTATTTCATAATTGTTGCATCCTAAGTGAGGAGTCACTCATGCTGAGATTTGAAACTTTTAATCTCATGGCAAATGTGATAGTACATAGATTTAGCCAGTGATATGGCATATTTCAAGTCTTCCTGGAACAAGAACTTTGAAGCTGAGTGGCAGTTGAATTACTCAGATTCAATGAGAAGAAACTGACTCCTTTCTTGTGATTTTGTAAAGAGAACTCTTTCCTCTGCCATTGCTAGACAGATAGATCTGTTATAAAAGTTAAATCATTTATCAAAACTGCCACAGCTCCCATGACCCATAGAAGAAGGACCATCAGACCTTAATTGCAATAGCTGTGTAATTTCAGAACTTCTCTTCCCTTGTTCACCTACTCTCTAACCTTTGTGTCAGCTTCTAATTTCCTTTCATAATTGACTCTCTTTCTCATAGTGCAGTGGGTGCATTTTCCTAATGTGGTGAAAGATCCAAATAGTGTGTTGTTGCATGCCTAGCAAATTTTGCTTGTGTCTATTAAACAAATCAGGTGCCTGAGGGGAAAAAAAAAATAGATTGAAAATATTACTTGTCATAGCAAATTTCAACTGAAAAAATGGAATCAATTTCCCTAAATCTTCAGGTTTTAGTTGTACTTTTGCTGTTTTGATTTTAATTAGAAACCTCAATAAAGACTTTAGCCTAAATTTGAAGATAATTAGAATTTTAAGACAGCTGTTTGGCTCAAGAATTGCTCATTTCAGCCATGAGAAAAAGCTAATAAATTGAGACAGGGCCTGAAGACAGGTGTTGGAATAGGCTGAGTGTATTGTGTTAGAAAATTGAGACGTATTGTGTATTCTTATCCAAAATTCATATCCAATATGCGTCTCTGGGATTTTTACTCTGTAGGCACTTAAACATCCTCTACATGAGCCCTGTCTCAGTTTTGCTGTAGAACTATGGGTAAATCTGTACATTTTAAAAAATTGATTTTTATATTCTAAAATAAATAGAGAAACATTTTTTTCTTCTTTCTTTTTCTTCAGTTTCCATTTAGTTTACTTGTTAAATGTATGCATGCAAAGACCAGAAGTCACACTTAACAATACTTGTTTACTCTTTGTATTTTTTCTATCTGACTGATAAAATCAAGAATGTAGTACTCAGAGTTAAACCATATCTCTTCCAAACTAAAGATTATTTAACAGTGGTATCTTTTTCAAACAGGTGTATCTTATTTTCTAAGATTTCTATGTCAGATCAAAATTTACTAGGCTATGGTGCTGGAGAGAATCAGCAGTCCTGAGAAACATCCCACTAGTTAGATATGAAAGGACTGAAAATCTGAGCATGAGGATGAATTTTAAGGCAAAAACTGCTTAGTTGTGTGTTTTTGTTTTTGGTTTTTTTGTTTGTTTGTTTTTTGGTTTTTTTTTTTGGAAGACGATTTTGTTCCAGCAGTGCTTTTCCTAGCTTTTCCTGCATGCTGCTGTACTTACCTGATAGAAAGAGAAAAAAATATATATTGATTTTTTGGGTATGCCCTGATTGCATGTTACAGTAGTGGTAACCAACATCACTGAGTCAGTAACTGTAAACGTGTATTAAAAAAAAAAAAAATTAGTTCTAGGCTATTCTAGTTGTAAGTGATATTAACATAAGTCAAAGTATCAGTTCATAAGATAATGCTGTTGGCAACCAGAAAACTGTGAAGTGACTTTTAATTTTTGTTCATATGTAGCACCTACAAAATTAGAAAATAAGGGCAGGTTTATTCTTGCTGAACCTCACCCAACCAGGCCCACTTCCAGTTTAGAGACAGGAGAAAAGCACACTATCAGGTTTAAAAAAAAAAAAATTGTAAATGTGTGTCCTATTTATGCCTGGGTTTAGGGAAACAACTCTAATACACTTATATTTGCCTTAGACATTGTACTGTTTTGTAGTCCACAAAATTTCTCTGCAGGCCCTGCCTCCTGTCACTTGTTATTAAGACTTTTAGGACTCTGGGAAGAAGAGAGCCAAGGGATCATTCCTTGGGTGTTTGAATCATGAAACTGATGTGATTGTATAGCCTATTCATAACTCAAGAATAAAATTAATACTATAACTTTTGTTATTATGTACAGATATCAATAGTAGCTAAGTAGTCTGCACAGTAAAAAAGAATAAATCCCACTAATCTCAGATCATGTGTTTAATGCTGTCTGCACAGCACCACTCCAGGTTTTCTGTGACTTGTTCCTCCATATCCACAGAAAACCTGCATGGTGTTATGCATCTTTAGTGAAAAGGCAGTATGTAGTTTTATAGCACCTGCCACATACAAGATTCTTTTTCTTGATTCTCCTTATTTTTGTTTTGAAATATAACTTTATGGATTTAGCTATGGACTACCAAAATAGACATGGGACTCTACTTTCTATCTTATATTACTATATTATCCAGACAGGATAGTGGTATACATCCATTTAAGAAACAAGTGTACTTATCTTCCTTTCTCTGTCTTGATTTCCTTTCAGAAGGTTAGAGGTCAGCTAATACCATCCTTGATGAAAACTGCTATAACTTGAACAGCAACAGCTGGAGGTCAAGCAGCTATCATCCCTGAAATAGTTGCCTTCTCACCGGTGTTGAAACTACTACTTGTCATCAGCTAGATCACTTCAAAACACTCCCTGAACTATGAAGGATACGTACCCAGAACTTCCTAAAATGTCAGTAGTCAGGGAACAAAGCTTTCTAACAATTCAATAACAAATGTGCTAGTTGGCCTGTATTAAAACTTCTCTAGAAATCGGCAACAGTATCCACCCTTTCTTTATATATTGTGGGTAGGTGATATACTTCTATATCTAAAACTGCTTATTCTTTGATAACATCTTAAATACATGTAAGCATTTAGGACTACAGTCCATAGCTATGCCACTTGCAGAGTGGTCTGAGTCTGTACAGATTTAGATGGCAACCTCTCCTGAAACAAGTGTTCCAGTGCGTAGAGGTGTTTACCTCTCTTCATGGATTCAGGGGATGCTTCAGAGCTTAGCACGGACCAGACATTCAGCTTAAGGAACTGAAATTGCACAAGGTAACTTTGGAGGTAGAAGCATTTATTAAGGCTGATTTTGCCTAACATCAAAATGTCTCTTGGTACTTATGGCATTAAGTGCTATTGTTGAAATAATTATTTGGAAGCAAAATGAAGACTTCACAAAAATTCATCAGAAAAAAGCTGAATCTAAAATCATAAGCTAAATATAAAGATGCAGCTTCATACTGCATTTTTGATCCTTGCTTTCAATCCTTTGTGTACCTAGGGGCAAGATAGAGCGTGCTCTCTCTCTCTTTTTAAATGCATTATAGATCAGCCTTCCAGTAGTAAGTCAGAGCAGAATTCTTACAGTGCCAGTAGCTTTTTGGAATCATAAAATGGTTTTCAATTCCTGTTTCTTCTTGGTCTTCCTCATTGGCTTCTCTCCCAGCTATACCTACTAAAAGACAATATGGAGAGCACTTCAAGAATTCTAAAGGAAAAGGGTAATTAATAGGCATTCCTTTCTCAAATACAATGAGAACTTTATACGCCTGTCTTTTACGTGAGATGTCTCAGATCTATCCACTTCAAATCTGGAGTGATGATGACCCAGGCAACACAGAGAGTTATTCAGAGCAGTCACCACACATAGGTTGACCTCTCTGATCTATTTATTCCACTCATAATGTCGTATTGTCATGATGTCATAATTTCATTCATCATAATGAAATAACACAAAGTCTGTAAGAAGCACTACACTGTGTTGTTTTTTGTCCACTTTCCCAAACACAAAAGCTGTCCTGGTCTTGCATATTTGAAAGCTAAGGTTTTACAAAGAGAAAAAATTTTAATAGAGTAGAGTATACTCGGAAAAAGAAGTACTTTCCATTATGCTTCAGAGTGAGTGCAAAATATGCATTTCCTATTTCATAAATCTATTGTCTACATCTACTCAAGTCACACTTGAATAGCATGGTTCTGAGAGAAATGGGTGAGACCAAGTTTTGATGTCTAAGGTGTTTCCATTCCAGTGATAGGTGGAAAAAAAAAGCATAGGAAAGGTAGCAAGAAAATAATAGAACCATAAATAATAAATGTATTCTGCAAGTGTCATAAGAAAGCATCAGAAGCCCCTTTAGTGAGCTAGAAATGTGCACGCAGATGCAAAGCTGTGGGTGAAGAAATAGATATGGTAAGAGCTCAGAGAGAAGGGGTAAAGTAATATTCTATCAATAATGCAGAAATAGGATACGTGTTTTGTCTGATATAATTGTGCCTCTTTGGTATGACTAAAAGGTAGAAATGGTAATTAGACATGGCTTGAGACGTGCTGGGTAAGCTGAGCAATGGGAAGTAGAAGGAGAAGTCATTTTCTCCAGAGAACACACAATGTGCATTGGCCTAGGTATACAGCCTTGCTTTTGCACTTTAGTTGCTTGTAATGCTGCTGTTCCCAGCTATCAAAGAAACTCTGCATGATAATCTCTAGGCATATAACTATTGTTGCTTTATATTTAATGAGGCAAGTATGAAATGACAAGTAGGAAGTAGATAAAAGTTTCTTAATCAGACAAGAAAACATTTCATATTCAGCCTAAAAAACTGTTTTTGCTACAACAACTAGTGTCCAATCCAGAATTAGTATACTGATAGAGACTAAACTGCATTTTCTCTGCTTATAAAAAAAACAAAAACATTTGCTCCATTGTATTATCTAAAGATAAACACTGATCCAGGTCGCTGCAGAGAAGAAATAAGCCTTATAGACTGTAGCTGCATTTACAGGCTGAACTTTGAATCTATCCCTTTTGTAACAATGGAAAGCCACTGATATCTAAGGATGGAAAAAATATTGATCCAATATCTTATGGTAGTTACAGCAATTTTGTGTTTGTTACCATTTTATACTACAGACTTTAGAGAAGATTATGGAAAAAAGACAACCTCTTGATTTAGTTTGCTAGATGTAGTTTTTCATTGTTTTGTCTAAGTATTTCATTCCACTTAGGGTTTCTTGAGATTGTTTTATCCCTAAAAATCACTATTATAATTGTCAAGGACTGACCACCATGATAGACTGTGATAATTAAATCTACGTAATCTATTGAGCCCCTGCAGAAAACTGAAAGTTTTGGGACACAAAACTGCAAGGGAGGCCTTGTTTCAAGTGAGAACAGGTAGAGAACTTTCAATTCAGAGATTGCAACTTATTTTTTCTTCTGGGTGCTGACTTTGAATAGAAGATTTCTTTAAACTCTCAACCTCTTGTTCTTCTTGCCTTCATTATTTCCTTAAAAATTTTTAAGAACTCTATTGGGATTATAATATCTGAACCCTTTTTAGATTAATAGCTTTTGTTTAAACAAACTTTCCCCTTTTCATTAAAATCACTTTGCTCTTGTTAATTAAAACCAACCTTTGGAGTATAATAGTGATTACAACCTGATTGTCTTCTCTGCATACTGAACTGGGACACCAACAGTAGTTCAAAGTATTATAAAGAATGTTATAATTTAACTACAGTTGAAATGTGGGGAGAACAATTTAAGCCCAATTTGCTAAGCATTTTGCAGTAACTTATGTGAAATAGAAAGTAACTAAGATGGTAGGAACTCATTTTCTCAACTCTTGAGTTATCGTGCTCCAAAGAACTTGTCTTACTTTTCTTACTTTAGAATTTCACGTTTCATTCAAGTAGCCCTGAAGGAAAGCTTATTCTGTTAATACATCTGGCTGCCATACAAATACATTAATTTTCCCTTTTAAGAAATACACTTTCTAGGCAGTATAATTCTGTGCAAAACCAAGCTGTACAATCCTTACCCTGGTCAGAAAAAAAAAAAGCCAATCCTTATTTTACGTAACACACAGCACTTACAACATTTCCCTGTCTATACTAGGAAGGCAGAAGCAAGATGACTCATGACTGTAATTCATGCTTTAACACAAAACTTTGTTGCTAACTTTTGTTAAGTGAGTGAGAGCATGTGTACCAGCATGGCTTACAAAGTGTGGGGGGAAAAAGAACAAACCAAACTAGGACAGTTTACCATCAAGCTCTTATGCTGAACCAGATTACAGAAATGCCTCTGGATTTAGCTGTATTTTGGGACTCACCCAGCATGTAGTCAGACTCAACCCTAGTTGAGGTCTAAGGATCCCAAGCAGCAGAAGTAAAATGTTAAAAATGGAAGCTTGATTTTTATACACTTAAGACACTTTGTCTTAGAGGTGTGGCTGGAAATCAGCATATTTCTGGTTAAGACAGACCATTAGCAGATAGTACAAATCTAGCCAGTGGAGCAACTGCAGATAAGTTAAATATTTCATCTGTTCTGTATAGATTTCTTTAGGCAGGTTTACCATCTGGAAAAGAAAAAGGGAGGTTAAAGGGGATTTTCTGATCCCTCCTCTCTTTCTCCCTCCTAGATATAGTTAATTGTATATTCACTTCCACTCTAATAGGCAGTATGGCGTAGAGCTAGATATATGGAGGACTTCAGATAGGTAGTACTTCTCGTTCCTCTTTGATGTATTTCTGTATATTCTCTTTCCCTTGTCTTTCTAGAATGTCTGGAGCAATTGTTTGTTCTGGCACTTAGAACTGTGAGGTTTATCTACTGCATCTCACTGACAAACTGCATAGCCATGAGCAAATGCTCTGGGATACTCTCCACAATGGCATCCTATTGTGCTTTTAATAAGTGATAAGCAGGTAGAATAGGCACAAAGCACTTCATGGTATCAAAGCTAGGAAAGAAAACATGTCCGGGTGAGCTGAGCAGTTGTCTGCAAGTGTCTTTAAGCCACTATATTTTAAGGTGATTGAAAGATTTCTGTGTTCTTCTCTATTTTGTTTGCAAGGAGTTTTTAGTTAAAGAATAAATTAAAGAAAGATTTAATTAAAGATTAGCAGAAGGAAAACAAGTTATGGATATAAAAAGGCTAGGAGCAATCTAAGCTGAAGAGCCAAAACATCAAACTAAAAACTACCTCTGCACCCCAAACCCACACACCTCATTGCTCATGTAGCACCTGGCAGCTGCACTGCTCTGATTTAGGAGTGGGTCACTAGATGCTACTGCATGCAAATTGGGTCAAGCTTTGTGCTGTATTCATGTTTACAATAGACACCAAATGCTTCACGAGTATCAGAATTGTTTTCCTTCAGACAGTTTCCAGGTGTCACAGCATCTAAAAGAGTAGGAAGTATTATTTACTACTCTTCAATACTTAAATGCAATTTTTCCCCTACTGTCCTACCTTGGTTTTTTAGAGTTGAATTGTATTCCCCTTCCCAGAAATTAGTGACTGATTTAGGAATCGTGGATTCTGAATGATGGGAACTGGCCCTATTACTGCCCTTGTTGCCCTGCTAGATCTGAAGCAGGCTTCTTACAGAAATTCTTCAAATATCAGGCTAGTACTATATGACTCACTTTAAAAGCCTAAATAGTATTGTTGTTTTTTTTTTCATTCAAATTACTTTCTACCTCATTTTAATTAGCTACGTTCTTGAAGATAGCTGTGAGTAAGACTCAAATTCATCATTTTTTAGTATAAGAATGAACAGATACAGCTGAAATGGTTGTTTGCAAAATAATCAGATTCTTTCCTGTGACTTACTAGAAAGTGCAAATATAGATTCATTTATCACAATCTTAATTTCCAGTTGTTTCTTTAAATGCTGATTTTTGCAGAGGCTTTAATTCTCCATATGGCGGCACTAAGCACCAGCTCATTTTGTTCCTGGCAAAAATGGGGGAAAGCTTATTTCAAAATTCTAATTAAAAATTTTTCTTGCTGCATAAGGAGTCGTGATGGGATTCCTCAGGGTAGTTGGATGGGTTTTTGATTGAATTACAACTGGCCTGATTGTGTGAATATTTCATTAAAATGTTCTGAACTGAAAACAGCAATTAATGACAACCTGAATAATAAAAAGCACTACTTTACCTTCAATCCTCTCTTCTCCCACAGTTGATTCAAATTAGATGCTTAGTCACTAGAAAAAAAATAAACAAGCAAACAAACATAGAAACAACAACAACAAAAAGATTAAGCAGGAGTCAGTGCAGGGGAAGAGGAGAAGATTAGAGCCATCACCCTTGAAGTCAGAAGTGTTGTGGTTGGAACTAATGATTGTATATGCAACTCTATGACAGAGCTGCCATCACGAAGGATAACTGTGCTTCTGATCTGTCATTTTTTCACTGTTCTATGCTAACTTTGGTTTTGATCCAATCTCACCTAGGGTAATTTTAGTCTACCTTCTCTTGTATTTATCAATATCACTGTTGAGTTTTTTCAATATAGAAAATTCCAAAATAAATAAGTTGGCCAAACCAGGTTTAAGGTGAATTGCCTACAGTTAAAAATGGATATTTTGGCTTGGGCAATTAGTTAGATGTGAGCCAGCTGCATATTATGGCCTGGTTGGATTACAGATGTCTCCTAAAGCTTACAATCATCTGTTGACAACTTCGACAAGTGCTGTGTGCACCTCACCTTGCCTTCTGAGAGAATTAGTTGAACATAAGTCCAGGTTTAGACTATTTCAAACGTTCTTTCTTAGTAGCTGATGATTGATATGGATTTACAAATGGAAGAAAGCAATACTACTAATGATAAGCTTTACTATAAGAGATTAGTGATCAGTCTTAATCGCAAGTTTAAATTGACAATTTAATCATCATAATTTTAACAGCACAGTGACTGAATTTGGTTATTAGAGGAAATGTGTTCCTACTACAGAATTTTCGATGATTTTATCAATACCCTTAGATCAGAATAAAATCTTTCCTTGTTCTCATTCATACATCAGAAACACCTCAAATTAAGCTAGTAGAGTTATATTGGCACACACTCCCACACAAAAGAAAAAAGAAAGCTTGTGAGAAGGACAGCTAATGAACCCACAAATTATTTAGACTTCTGCAACACGTGGAATGGAATCAGCACAAGGTATCACACAAGGATCAATGCTACATTTCTCTGATACAAATATATGGCATATTCTGGCATTGCAAACCATTCTTGCCCTGTCTGGCTCTTGTTAGCCTGAGATTATCTTTCACTTGTATTTATTTGTATGCTACTACCTCACAGGCAGATTCTTGAACATCAAAGTGAGCTGTTTCATTACTTCAAGAGTGTCTGTATTGATTTTAAGATAGAAATGCACCAACATAGTAATATTTAAACATACCATTCTTCTTTTGGGGCTTTTCTCTCAGTTTCAAAATTCTGCAGATCATACCAACAATTTATTAAATACAATTTGAAATATATCTACATATCTTATTAAATTTGTAAATTCATTTATTGTTCTTTTTCTGCAGAATAAGCTTCACACTGAAGGTGTGTTTATGAAAGTACCTGTGCAGCTACCTGAGCCCATATCCTCACAGAGGGAACGGTTTCCTTTAACATATTCTACCTCAATTTCTCATTCTAGCTTTGGTTCGAAACAAATTCAAATCTGTAAGTAAAACACATCTGTTACAGAAAGAGGCTGAGAAAGCTGGTACTAGTTATGCTGGAAGATGAGCTCAGGGAGATCTTATTACTACATATAAATATACCTGATGGGAAGATGCAAAAATGATGCAGCCAGGCTCTTCTCAGTGATACCAATTGGAAGGATGAGAGATGAGACAGGTAGTTCAGAGAGACTGTGGAGTTTATTCTTGGGGATATTCAAAATCCAATGATACAGTCCTGGGCAACCTTCTCTAACTGATGCTGCTTCAGGAGGGATGGTTGAACGGTGATCTCCAGAAGCTCACTCTGTTCTCAATTAGTTTATGATTCTGTGATACCTGTAATGTAGAAAACATGAAATGTCATCATAAGGCCTTGCGCAGCATATTTATTTGATCTCCTGAAGCCTGCTACATGCTTCCCATACCACCATGAAGTTATATTAAGTACAAGGAGGGGAGCAGGCAAGGTACAGAGGGCAGGAAAAGCATCGCCTCCCATTCCTGGAAATCACTCTGCTGTCATTATCAAATTGAGTTTTGCTAGCTTGCATATGGACTCACATGCAAGGAGGCAAAAATTCATCATTACCTTGATGACAAAAAACCTTGAACCTGTACTTGTACATGTTATAGAATTACTTTTTAACTGTCAAACTTCTACTTTCGCTGCAGAACAATTTTACTGAATCGGGATTTCCCCTCCCCCCATTATGTTTTTATTCCCTATAATTTTTAGATATGACCTTAGCATTCAGATCAACTGTATGAGACTAAGCCATATCTCCAGGGTTTATCACAGGCTTAGAGATTGCTTGGTTTGTTTTTCATATGAAAAACATTTTCATCAACTTTTATATTTAAGCTATTTCAAAGAAGTTTTATTTTGGAAACTCAGTAAAAACATTAAAGCACCCTGGTTGATGTTTCAAGAGTAAAACATTTTGATTTGAATTCAAAACAACAGGTCTAAATTAAACTGTTAAATAAAATTTATAAGAAGTCATTTACATTGACATGTTCCGATTTTAATTAAAACAAAAAGAATTTTGAGTTATTGAAGACCTCAGTTTTCCTTCATGAATTTCATTTTACAGCATAACTAAACCACTTTTTTTTTCCCACGTTCAGATGCATAAGAAAATTTATCTTTTAGAAGTAATAAAACTTCCAGCTATATGCAAAGCCTGCTGTTCATTCACGTTTCTTTTATAACTAAAGCTGCTGCATTTCTAAGATTAGACTGCTAATTCAAAAACCTCCAGTCACAAGTATAAATTAATACAAAACATCATTTCAACAATTATCAGAAGTACCCTACAAATGAGTATGTACAAGTGTCTACTCCTTAAATCCTTAGTTGTTTAATCTTTCAGGTATTAATGCATTCTTTTTGTTTTCTGGTCAGATTTAGACTTCTCAAAATTATGAAGTATGCAGGCCCTGGACTACTCTAGAAAGTCTTCTCCATTTTGTGACTTTTCTATTTAGTCAGTGACTTTTTTTCTACCACAGAAAAAAAAACAGTTTGTCTAGTACAGGCAAGTTGTGGATTTCAGATAAAAAGAAGAAAGGAGGAAAGCCTACTCTATCTTACATGCATTAGACACACAGTCAATTAGATTTTAGATGTGTAGCATTTGTAGGAATGAATGAATCAGAGCCAGCTGGACAACAGTATTTCCAGAGCTCAGTTGGAAGTCCTAGTGCCAATACTTAATCTGTCTTTTTACTGCATGCATAGAGCATGTCTGATTAAAACACAGCAAAATGAATGTAAAAATCACACAACTATAACAACTTATGAAAAAAAGATTATGCTAAGTTTTTCTTCATTTGCTATAAATAAGGGAATAGAAGAGCAGATAATTTAAGAGGGAAAGAAGAAGTCTCTGCACATTCTTCATTTATCTGCTTCCCTAATATATGAAGCTATCCTAGTTAGAAGAAGCATTTATATCAAATACTGAGCTCTCAAGGCTTATGTAATGTAATGTTTACTTTTTCAAAGTTTCTAATGCACTATTAACTAGATCCAAACAGGGGTGCAGTCGTTCAAGTACCACTATACACACAAACCCACAGATTAGACCCTCAAGCTCTCTTGCTCAGTTGCTGCTCTGGAGATAACTCAACTGAGTGTTTAGCCATTAGGTTCACACAGCATGCCACAGTCGAAGCCCTGATGGTAATTATATTGCATGGTGTCCAGCACTGGGACATCTGCTACATGAAGCACTTCTTCTAGCTTGAGGAATGACACAGAAAGATAATTATGGTTAGAATATCTTTGACTTCCAAAAAATACATGCTGGCTATGATGTTCTCCTTCTCCTTGGTATGTCCATTACTCTAGTACTAGTCAGTGCAGCTTTGTAAACAGTACTGGCCACCTTTCTATCAAGAGAAAGTAGTACCAGGTTTTCCCCCCGCTTCTGGTTTTCTCCTACTGCACCCCAGCAGCTGTGAAAGTCAGTGCATTTCAAATATCTTTCTCCTTTTCTGAACAGCCTAATACTTTGCAGAATGCTAAATGCCACAGAACAAAATTGCATCACAACCACCACTGGTTCCCAGCACCAGCAATAAGTCAGGCAAAATTTCCACATAGCTCAAGGAAAACATCTGTTTTCCTTGTTGGTTGCTATCAATCTGCTTTTGGAGTCAGAGCTCCTGAACAAAATGCACCAGCTGGGCAAAGAGCAGCAACTCAAGTCCTGCTTAGTTTGTGGTGGCAGAAAACTTTGGCCAGAATAAATTCCACCTTCACCCTGGGAGAGCTGTGAGATCTGGGACACTGCATGGCCAGCAAACTGCAGAATGCTAGTAGTGCCATAGCTCTCTGAGCATGCTGTGTGGTGTCCTCCGTAAATATTTGACAAACCAACAGTGCAAATAATTTTCAAAGAAAGAATCACTGTAACAATTGCCACTCAGAAAATGTATGATTTTGTGTGGTTTTTTTTTGTTTTTTTGGTTTTTTTTTGTTTTTTTAAGCTAATGCCCTACAGAGCTGCACAAAGCAATTTATTATCCATTAAATTCAATGAGGACCTGCCACAACTGCTTAACAATGGTGTAGTGACAGGTAAGAAAGAAACACAAGGAAAGAAAACACCTAAATTTGCACTGACCGTGCATGCTGCAAAACATAGAAGAAAAATCAGCATTGCTTGAAGCATCTGTCACTTCCCCAAGATATTTAATTTTTAAGCTACTTTAGATGCACACACAGGACTGTGTAAGAGAATCTCTTACCATATGCCCCCACGTTAACTGAAAACAGAGCTTCTCAGATTTGCTTAGAGTTAGGAATACTCAAACAGATGTAAAATCCTGCGATACAGAAGAGAAAGCCCTGATACTATTCAGTAATTATGGACTTTATTAAATGCAATCTGCCTTACTTTGTTTTGAAAATATCACAGAAATTTCAGCAAAAATAAGCGTCCCACGCAATTAAACATGGCATATGTTTATGCACCATGCAGGTACTGGTGTGCCTCAGTATTCAAGCAAAGCAACTCTATCCCACGTAGTGGACAGGAAATGAATGCACTAACATTTTCTTCTTGTTAAAACAAAAGAATTTTATAATGCTTTGGAGCAGAGATACATTTCATTACTTGGCTTTAAAAAGTAAGTATGAAAATTTCCTGCTCAGTGATTTGCCTCCTAACAAGTTTGGCAAACTGCATATAACCGAAAATATTTAGTTTGTGCCTAGCCTTATTAAATATGGATATTATTATATAGAAAAAAAATGTTTACATGCTAAAATGCTTTTCTCAAACCTATTTTTTTTTTTTAGACAAGAGAAGTGAAATTATATCCCAAGGGCACACTGACTGATTTTCAGAGTTTTTTTGAATTTTAAAAGACACAGACAATACCATATCATGATGCCTGCATTATCTTAATGCTTAGATAATGTTGAATTCTTTATTAATAGCTGTCATGTACCTCATGTGCTTGAAATCAGCTGCAGTATGGAACAGTGGACATTCAGATGAGACTGCTCAAAACCTGGAGTCCATTCAAAAAATAAAACAATCAACTTCCCCACCCCAATTCTAATCCAAAAGGCACAAACTTACTGAAAATACATTGACAATCTAAGACCGTGTGACCCGCCCTTCTGATTTTGGACAAATTGCCTTCTTACTATGCTATTCTGTTTTTACTTCAAAAAATGATTGAAGTATTCCCAAATAGTTTTTCAGCTATAACACAATTCTTAGTCTAGTAGCTTAGAGACCGTAGGTTAAAAAAACACATTTATTACAGAAGACCTTAGAATGCAGTAATTAAGTTGCACAACTGAATCATAACTAGATGAAATCTCAAATCAGATTGCATGAACACAGCTGTGTTCTTGCTCCCAGACACACAATATGCATTTCTGCCATAACTGATAAATTTGCTCCATGCCACAACAGCTCTCAGCAAGAGCACTTCTACAGAAATTATCTGAGAAACCAACCCCGTGGAGTACATCAATCCTGGATGTATCTGCTTTCGACTTAAAAGACACATGTCTTGGTAAATTTGCCACAAAGCATATCATCCGTGAAACACTGATGTGCCTGGGAAAGGACATGGACCTCTGATTAGCACAGAAGGCTCAGGAGTCCAGAACTCCACTGCTTGCTCTTTCAGTACCATTAATTAGAGTAACTGTCTCAGAGCCAACTTTAAACAAGATGCCTCTTCTTACTGAGACGTAATGTGCACTGTAAATGAAACCACTTCTGTGTGAGGACGCTCAAGAGACAGCTAATCTGAATTCCCAAGGCTTTACATTTAAAACATACTAGAACCCCACTGTAGATAACCATTTAGAAATAAGTTTAGTTCAATTAGGTTAATTCAGTCAAGCTGTATTTGCCAGTATGTTATATTCACAGACTCATAGAATCACTCAGATTGGAAAAGACCTTAAAGATCATTGAGTCCAACCATGGTCTAACCATTCTACCCTAACAACCCTCTGCTAAGTCATGTCCCTGAGCACCACATCCAAACGGTTTTTAAACACATCCAGAGATGGTGACTCAACCACCTCTCTGGGGACCCTGTTCCAGTGCTTAACAGCCCTTTCTGTAAAGTGTTTCCTGATATCCAACCTAAACTTACCCTGGTGCAACTTGAAGCCATTTCCCCTCATCCTGTCAC